AATCGAAAATCGAAAATTTTAACACAAAAATAGTGTTTTTTTAACTACGGCAGCCGTTTAAATGTAGAAAAAAAAGTGTCGGGACAAATTTTTTTTTTTCATTTTATAGTACATAAAATAAGCTTTAATTTGATATATGTTTGAAGGACGCAGTATTTCCGGAACATTTTCAAAAATTAAGTTGAAAAAGTTAATTTTTGTAAAAAAGTTGCTATTTTAAATCTCCCCTAATGAGCATGTTAAGTGATAGATTTTCAAAAAAAATGATATCAAATAAAAAGTAAATATCTAAGGTTTTAGTATAAAAATAAATTATGTTGTTTTGTTGATTTTTCAAAAAGTTATGGAAGTTTTAAGAAAAAAAAGTGAAAAAATTTCGAAAATTAGCGATTTTTAAATTTGTAATTTTTTTGGATATTTCCCCCATTTGCGGGGAACGAGGGAATTTTTTTCAATTTTTAAGGGTAATGTCTTCAACTAGATACGATTTGTGATCTTTTGACGTATTTTTGAAAGAAATCGGTCCAGTGAGAGCTGAGAAAAAGTGGCAACAGACATAAAAAAAAAAAAAAAAACATCATAGTAAAATTAATACCTTCTCCGCTTCGCATCGAAGCTAAAAATTAATAGAAAATATCTGTGCATATAACAAAAATATATATATGAGCTAAAATGAGCCCATACCCTTATTCAAAACATACGCATTGACGAATAATTTTTCCGGACTTATGACAGAGTATTTTCGTTGAAAAAAATTGTTTTGAAAATTGAAGTACGCTAAGTAATTTTTGCAGAAAAATGTTTTTTCCTTGTTGTATATTAAGATGTGTACATATATTGGCATACAGAAAAATCGTTATGTTTCGATAAATTTTAATGAATTTCAAATCCACGTAACGGCTACAGTTTTGGTTGGATCTCGAACTTTTGGTGCTTTTTCGGCACATGCTGATTATCATGATAAAGTAAACGCTCATTTCAACCAGGGTTTTTTGATTTAGAACCTGAAATTTTGACCAGGCTTGTTTAGAGACATTTCAGAAATACCCTAAAAATATTAAAATCCGTGGGTTTTTTAACAGATTATTTTTTTTTTTTTACATTTGACACTCAATAGTTTTTAAAAACCATTTTGTGTGTGCGCATTGAAATTATTACAATGAGCTCACACACACACATATATATACATATAAAAAATTATTTTATGTCTCCATACAATAATTATATGCTATTGATATAGTCATTGACGACTTGTCGTCGTGCACTGTATAATGCAATTGTTCAGAATTCATTTTTTAGTTGTACTGTTGATTTAAGTTTACAATGGGCAAGAATAGTGGGTTATATACACTCAGCAGAGTGGGATTGCCGCATAATAGTGACAATTATAGATGATATATCAGAGTGATTAACATGATAATTTTAAAATTTAACTCAAATTTAAATGCTTGTTAAATTATTTTCTTAATTAAAAATGGTTTTTTTTTGTTTTTTTAATAATGAAGTACACTTCAAGAATTTTAATTTGACATAGGTTAGAATAAAGTAGACATATTCAAAAATTGCAAATATAATTTATTTTATTTTGACGGCCAATTTCTCATAATAAAACAAGAGAAACAGATTTTTTTTTAAATTATAATACATTAAAAAAAACTTTGATTTTATATAAGTCTGAAAAACGCAAAACCTTCCGGAACGTTTTGAAAATTCTAGCTAAAAAGAAATTTTTTTAATACGTTGGTGGTATCTTTCAAACTCTATTTGTACTTAGGTTATTTATTGAATTTTCTCAAATATCATACCAAAAGCAGTTTATTATTTCTAATATACTCTATTAAAATTTCATTAGGATCATCATTATTATAAATAAAATATAATTGTTATAAATCATAGAAAAAAAAATTGGCATTATATTGTTTAAATAAGAGATTAATGTGAAGGTAGCAAGGGCCGTTGATTTAGGGTTTATTGTATGGACAATTTTTCATGAAAAGTATATTAAATTTCTATTCGTGATAAATAGAGGCGCCAATTAGTTGATTATTTTTAAATATACATTTTTAATACACATTTCTATTTTATTTTTTTGTAATCATATAATAAGACATTAAGATATTAAGTTAATGGATATGTTTTTCTAATCACCTATATTATTTTTGGGTTCTAAAAGTATCGTATATTTAGTCTAAACTTTTAAAGTAAAATTAGTTTATTAGAGTTTAACATAAATATGAAATTCTGAATTCAATATTAACTATAGAGTAATGATTTAAAATAAGACAATGTTATACTCATATTTTTCTCAAGTTTCATTAGCATCTAATAATAATTAGATGCAACTAAAAAAAAATATTGAACAGTATTATATTCTTATAAATAAAAACAAATTTAATTTATAATATTTTAAATTCTTATATTACAGTTACACATTATAGTCTACAACTTCATAACACAATTTTATTAGTATTGTTGATATCAAAGAGATAACATTAAATTGAAATTTTATTATATTATAGTGATGACTTCGTTACATTATATCAACCGTCTACTTATTACATTTTACTATTGACCCTTTTAAAAATTTTAATAATTAAATGTTTACTACATTTTTGTTATACTGATCCTGAAGTAATACTCTTTTTGTAAAATACTTATCGTGTCCGGATACTCCTAGCAGAATCTGTGATCTACTTATAAGAATGGTTCAAAAAGCTTATCGCGACGTAGGGACCCAAGTATATAGTAAACCTACTTCATAATAATTTTATTAAATTCGGACCCTATTACGTCTAATAATTTTTATTTATAACTATTAATAGTAATAAATAATTCTATTAATCAATTAAGGATATTAGTAATGAATGTAGGACTGCACTACAAATATTATACAAGCTAAAGAAGTCTACATTATATGCAATATTTGACACTTCAAAGAAAGTTAACAAACTTGAGTTTCTTATCTCGTTAAGAAAATTAACTTAAGTAAAAATAGTTTTTAAAGAATCATTTTCTTAATATTGTATATACCTTTATTGTGAAAAGTTATATTTTACCTTATTAAAAAGTTTAACCAACTTTCCCTAAAAATTTCTATGAATCAAAAAAAACATTCATAATAACTGTAGTTTTCAAAATTTAAAATAGACTATTAATGAAACATTATTTTTTTTAGTACAACCAAACTCTTCGATGATTCCGATGTATAAGTAGTGCTGTAGTTTATATACATAAGTGCATAAATTGAAATACCGGTTTAAACCTGTTTTCAAACTATTACACGATTACATAATATTTTGTAAACGCTTTACCATCATTAACACAATAGTTAGACTACGATTTACTTGAAGTGAATGAAATATAAAATTTGAAAAGATATAATTTTAATACTTAAAAGTTAATAAAAATAAATAATTAATCTTCATAAACAATTTTTGAGGCATCAAAATAATATTACCAAAAAATACATTAGACACGACATTAAAAAAATTTACTTCTTCCAAACTTTTATGAAGGAATTCTTAAAAATCATGAAATTTAATTTAAAAAATGATGATATTTTACTTAAGAGTCAACCTAATCCTTTTATAATTAGTGACGAAATCAACTGAGTTTTTCGGTTTTTATAAAACTGATCTAATAGTTTTCATATTATTTTCTTAACAGTTTTTGGTGATGCATAAAAATGTAATAGTCTTGATAGAGGGCTGTAAAATACTGTAGAAAAAATAAATATATATTTTTTGGTTATTATTGAAATTGAAAATGTTATGTTGGTCGGTAATATTGTTATGGATATTAAAATATCCACAGCATATTTACAGTAGCAAATATGTAATATTATAAGTATTACTAAGTCAATACTTAGTAACTAAAATAATTGAAAAAATAATAGTTTTTACAATTTTACCGATTAAGGCACGCGTTTATATATAGATGTTCACTTAGACCGTCTAGGAGGTGATTTTTGAACCAAATAAGTTAACATCATTTTAATGATTTTTATTATGCGTGGAATAAACTGGTGGATTTAAATCTGATTAAGTTAATTAAGTTTAAGTTAATTGAGGGTGTAGTAACAATTATGTGCCGAGTAATAATTATTCGTCGTGCTATAACTTAAATAAGTAAAATATAAATAACAATAATATTATTTTTATCTATTATTATTATTCAGCTAAATATTGTATAGATGGGATGATAAAGAATTATAAATCGGAATAGAGAGTATACTGTTCACTTGAATACTAAATTATATTGGGTACGGAATGAATTAGAGGCGCCGAGCAAATAAGTGCCAAAATATAAAATGTACTGTAATATAGGTTTCCAAACTGTACTTTAGTACACTAAAGTATAGTGTAAGTAATTAGAAATATACATTCTAAGACTATAATTATAATATAAAGTTTTAAATACATTTTAACCGTTGGTAATTTAACAGTGTTAACTACGTTGCTTCAATTTTTAATATAATTTTGTTAAAGTATCCTACACAAATATAGTTGCAACTTTCATAAATTCCTGAGTTAATACTACATTAATTTATAAATAACATAATAGTTATTTTTTTGTACAACTATCATTTAAAAATAATTATTATTTTCTGATTTAACTAATTTTAATTAGAAAAAGTTAGGTACCTAATTACTCTCCTATACGTTTATTATAAACTTTATATTAATAAATCTTGTCCATAAATGTACTTTCTTTATATTTATTGGTACCCATAGGAGGAATCTAAAGAAATTTTAAAGGAGCTCATTTTAATTTTGGAAAGCTTACTCTTTTTTATAAATTTTCTTTATATAATATAATATTTAATTTTCAAGATTTTTTTATTTTTTGTGGGGCCTTAACCCTCCTCCCAAACTTTACGCATGATAGTATCATTATATTTACCACTTAGTATTAGGATAATATTTTAAACTAATGATTTAAAAAATGTACTTTTTAATGTTCTATTTTTAAATCAAAATAGACCTAAATATTAGTAAGTATCCATACATATAAATTTAAAAAGTTTAAATATTTCATGTTATAATTTAAGTAGGTGAAAAACCGTTAAAATTTAATCATTAAAACGAAATATTTTAAAATATTTCATTTAGGGGGGTTTAAGACCTCATAAAAAAACGAGAAAATTAAATACTCTATGTGCAGCGTTCCCACTACATGACGTGACCTCAATGTGTGCATTTTAATTTTAAAAACATAAAACATATTAATTGTAAAACGATTAAATAGTGATAATTTTAAAATCAATTATAATTTAACATTATATTATATTTAAACCTTAAACGAAAAAATTTATTTTAATCCGAGCTGTGACTAAGTATTAATAAGAACTTCAGCGTGTGCAGTGTTTTAAACTGCTAGAGTGGAAAAGAAATAATCTACACATATCTATAGATTAGAGTACTAATAGTTATATTTTAAAAATATAATACCTAAAAAATTTAACAAAGATATACATAGTTACCCAAAAGTAAGGACTTCGAAAATATTGGCTCGAGCTCTTGGATGTGGAGGTCGTTCCTTCTTTTGACTTCCATCCATATTATATCTAGAATATAATTAAAGTACTATAAAAATATTCGTATAGTTTAATTAATTATATATAATATAATGACTTATATTATAATTAACTTAAATGATAACAAACCTAAAAATATCCAATTATATTGTTATTAAACTGTTTATTTTTAACTAGTAGCGTGTTGGGTTCTTATTCTGTAAAAAATGTTTGTATCTGTTAGTTATAAAATGAAATAGCTTATTCTTTAAAAGTCAACAGTGTAATTAAAAAATGATATTCGTATTATTAGAAAATATAAATCTTAAAAATTTATATTAATTATATTTTTTATTATTATTATTATTTTAAATAATATTCATATTTAAGAAGTTATTTTAGTATAATAAAGTAATAATTACTTTATTATACTAAAATAATTTTTTATATTATATAATAAATAATATATAACAAGAGGAAATCCTTGAAATATTCTTCAGTTAAGGAACAAAAATAACAACTTCCACAATTAAGAGTAAAAACGTATTTACTAATAAGTAATATATAAAAATAAGTGTTTATAAGAGAGGGATAAAAAAATGTTTTTATTATCAGGCTTATAAATTTTTTTGTTAAAGTTTTTTAATTAATAAAAAATTCGATATATAAAATTGTTCCAGGGCTTATAAAAATGTAAACCATATTATCATATGCTGACTACAAGGTTGATCGATTTAACATTAAAAAAGTTTAGATACATAATTCTAATTACAGTACATTCTAATAGAAATAATATGATGTAACATTGATGTTTAAAGTCTTATGGAAATTTTCAAAAAGCATAAAATTTAATTTGACTGAGAAATAACGAATTTCCTACAAATATACCTACATATCCTTGTATATTTATTTAGTTATTTATATATTACATGATTGGTTAATACTAAATTAACCAAACATGTAATATACTTACTATGTTCAGTAAAGCGGCCCCTACACGGTCAATAATACTGAATCAATTAAATTGTGTCAATATTTTGTGCAATATTTATTTGCCCTAAACCTCTCAATATTATTATCCAATATTCAATTGAAAAATATTCATTACCTATGTAACCTATCATCATAGGCGTATATTTAATGCGTGTTTACAAAGGCGTAGTGGCATCTACCATCAATTTATGTGATACTATAAAATACCACTGTATTAAAAATTAATTTAACCGATAACCCATAACCACTATTGCGTAATTTTTTACAATATCACATGTTAACGTACAATAATATTAAGTATTGTGCAATAAATTTCCAACCCTGTTTGATTTCTTCAATATATTGTACAATCCTTCAATATCTATACTAAACTTTCAATAATATTGCGCAATATCAATTATTGTTCAATATTATTGATTGTGTAGGTGCCGCTTAAGTAAGGAATCAGGTCAGTTCTTACAAACAATGAGAACAATAAAAACCCGTTTCCTTGCATATTGAACACCCCTATATATTCCCAAAAATGAGTCTATTCTCTTATTCGAAACATGCATGTGGACTTAAAAATAAAATAAATCGTAGAACGGTAATAAGAAAAATGACATGTTCAAAATCGGAACACTCTAAGTAATTTTCCCTGAAAAGCGTTTCTTTCCTTGTTATATTATATAATAACATTATGATTTTCTATATTATAAAGATACTTTACGTATGTCTTTGGCGAGTAGCGTCATTTAAGAAAGCATTTGATGAGCATTTGCCTATATAAGATAAAACATGATAAAGACAATTTGTAGAAACCGTTTAAGTAAACAGTTATATTATCAACAAGTTGAATAATAAAAAACCCAGCACAGGGGGGTCGCGGCACAGTGGTGACGTGGTATAGATGGATCAAGTATAATGATATCTGACAGTGATTAAAATCACTATAAAAAAAAAACGCTTCGATGCAAATCTTTAGATACTGTTTAATTTTAAAAAATTGGTGGACTATTCCAAAAGCTACATTATCTGCTAGTTCATTATTAATATCCTAATTAAGATAAAGTATGTAGAATGAAAAAGGGATTATTAAAAAATATTATTTCTCATAAAAAAATAATGTTGATCCATACACTTTTCAATATGTCATAGCATTATAAAGTTAAAAATGTAAAAAATAAAATCGAGAATTTTCACACAATAATAGCATTCGGTAGCCATTTTCACCGTGAAGATAAAATAAAGTCCGAAATTTTTTTTTCGCATAATAAAGTAAATTACATTAGCTTTAATTTAAGATATATATAAAAGTGTCAGACTTTCCGGAACACTTTCAAAATTTAAGTTGAAAAAGTTAATTTTTTGTGAAAAAGTTGTCATTTTAAATCCCCCCCTGTGGGCAGGTAAAGGGTCAGATATAAAAAAAATATATACCAAATGATAGGTAAAGACATCATGCATCTATAAAAAAAAAATTATATTGATCCATACATCTTTCAAAAAGTTATAGCATTATAAAGTTAAAAATATAAAAAAGAATTTTTTTACAAAAATCGTATTTTTTTTATAAACTTTGATGTCTGTTTTCACCATGAAGATAAAATAAAGTCCGAAATTTTTTTTTTCCATAATAAAGTATATTACATTAGCTTTAATTTAAGATATATATAAAAGTGTCAGACTTTCCGGAACACTTTCAAAATTTAAGTTGAAAAAGTTCTACTTCTACATGCATTTTTTAGATTTGAACCCCCTCGTATATAGGGAAATGGTCCGATTTAAAAAAACAGTATGTCAAATGAAAGATGTATATAAATACTACTCTTCATGAAAAAATTGTACTGATCCATACATTTTTCAAGAAGTTATAGCATAATAAAGTTCAAAATGTAAAATACAAAATCGAAAATTTTCACACAAAAATAGCATTCGGTAGCCGTTTTCACCATGAAGATAAAATAAAGTCCGAAATTTTTTTTTCGCATAATAAAGAACATTACATTAGCTTTAATTTATGATATATATAAAAGTGTCAACCTTCCGGAACATTTTCAAAAGTTAAGTTGAAAAAGTAAATTTTTTGTGAAAAAGTTGTCATTTTAAATCCCCTCTTATGGGCAGGTTAAGGGTTAAATTTATGAAAAAAATATACCAAATGAAAGGTAATGATATTATACATCTATATAAAAAAGAATTATATTGATATGTTTATTTTTGAAAAAGTTATGGCACTTTTAACTAAAAAAAATTGAAAAAATTTCGAAAATTAGCGATTTTTAAATTCGTAATTTTTTTGGAGGTTTCCCCCATTTTCGAGGAACGAGGGAATTTTTTTCAATTTTTGAGGGTAATGTCTTCGACTAGATACAATTTGTGATCTTTTGACGTATCATTGAAAGAAATCGGTTCGGTGAGAGCTGAGAAAAAGTGGTAATAGACAAAAAAAAAAAAAAATAAACACATCTTAGAAAAACCAATACCTTTTCAGCTTCGCATCGAAGCTAAAAAAGGAATTAATAAAAAGTATCATTTAACCGAGTACTAGACCAAAAACTTATTAAAAATAAAAAATATGTTTTTTTAGTTTCCTCAATATCGGCAACTAAGTATTTAACGGGTTTATAAAATAATCGATTAAAAATAATAATTTTTTAACTACTAGTTTTGCCTTAAGCTATCGTCAGATTACTGTACAATATATATAAAAAATCTTTCAAGGTAAACCAAAAATATAATTTTTGAAACAGGACAAAAAGGTAAAAATAGATAAATGTAAAATTTAGTTTTACATAAATTGGTAAACATTATTTTAATTATATTAAAAAAAATTCAGCACTGGGGGATCGCGGCACAGTGATGACGTGGCATAGCTGCATCAATTATAATGATATCTGACGGTGATTAAAATCACTATAAAAAAAAACGCTTCGATGCAAATCTTAAGATAGTGATTAATTTTAAAAAATTGGTGGATTATTCCAAAAGCTACATGATCTGCTAGTTCCTTATTAATATCCTGATTAAGATAAAGTATGTCGAATGAAATAGGGATTATTAAAAAATATTATTTCTCATAAAAAAATTGTGTTGATCCATACACTTTTCAGTAATTTATAGCATTATAAAGTTAAATATATAAAATATAAAATCGAGAATTTTCACACAAAAATAGTATTTGATAGCCATTTTCACCACGAAGACAAGTCCAGAGGTCAAATTTTTTTTTCCATATTAAAGTACATTACATTAGCTTTAATTTAAGATATACATAAAAGTGTCAGACCTTCCGGAACACTTTCAAAAATTAAATTGAAAAAGTTGTCATTTTAAATCCCCCCCTGTGGGCATGTTTAGGGTCAAATTTATAAAAAAAATATATCAAATGGTAGGTAAATACATTAAGCATCTATAAAAAAAAAATTATATTAATTTGGTTATTTTTTAAAAAGTTATGGCAATTTTAAATAAAAAAAAATTGAAAAAATTAATCAACTTTTTTTAATTGAAATATATATATGAAGAGTGAATGTGTTAAACGTTCTATGTGCCAAAAACATATTTGTTCAGAAAATACAAAAAACAATGGTAACATGGGCATGTCTCACATATCGAACACCATCTATGAATGCAATTTTGTACAAGTAAAAAATTTAATTGACATTTGAAACACATACAAGATTGTGGCCTTAGGCACATAGAACATAAATCAGAAATAAAACAATTTTTCACTTTTTTGGCACATAGAACGTTTGACACATTCACTCTTCATATATTCAACTATTTTATAAAATAATACAATTAAGAAAATTACTACAACTTATTTTCAGACGTTATTTCATTTTAATGCCTAGGCGGAATGAAAAGTGAAACTGAGAAATGTCTATTGATAAAAATAATAGCTCCCACTCCACACCTTCAGTCTCTACTCAAAATTGTTAATAATTTCTGAAATTTCGGTCCAAAAGTTGTATTTTCTTAATTAAATTATTTTTTTTTTATAAATTAGTAAAAATGTGTATATTTCCATTGAAAGAGATGATACCCCTAAAACGCATATGGGATGATTAAAATAAATAAATAAATAATGGATAAATCAAAAATTGTATGTAACTAAAAATTAAAAATAATAAAAAAAATACCAAAATTGTTATTACTTTACGAGGTCATCTTAATAAAGTAATAACAATTTTATTCATAATTCACGGATTTCCCAGTATAATATTGGTTATTACTAATCAAAATTTTCTAATTTTATTTTTTCCACTATAAAAATTGTATTAATTTTTTACTTGAGAAATTAATTTTTATGATAATTAAGTTTTAATTTGTTGACTATCTATGAAACATTACGCGTTTTGTTAACTACTCATCTATCTATCTATCTTAAAATCCAATTAATGTTTAAGAAAGTAATAGATTTAATAGATTTCTAATAATCTTGAATTTTTAATTTTAATAATCAATAGTCAATAGTAAAAAGTATTGTAGAAATTTTTTCCAATTTTAAAATTACATATTCGGAAATTTAATGATTAAATCAATTTAAATTTGTAATTTCCAATTTAATAGTAACTGAGATTAGTTAAAAATATATACATAAAATGTCCATAAAGTATATCTACAGTACAAGGAAAATCCAGTTTTTTACCATTATTGTCAGTGAATTGGTCAAATATAGATTTTTAATATTACAAGTAGAAATAGACTTGAACCTTAGTTATTTCTACAGAAATTACTTCAGCCATCACGAAAAAAAATGTGGAATCATCTAGTTTAAATTACATATAAGGTTTTAATATTTTTACCATACACAATACATTTTATTAAACATTGCACTAACATCTTTTATATTTAATCGAATCAAAATTTAAAAAAACTTACCTTAAATTTTTTAATATTTCTAGATTTTATGGCTTTATAATGTATTATTCTTAATTTTTTTTATCCTATGTATTCAAACACAAATATAACATCAGATTTCTTCATTATCACTAACACAGGTATGTAAAATCTATTAGAAATATTAATGACTTCAGATAAACGGCATATAACAACGTTGCTTCAACGGACTAGCACTCAATAATGATATTTAACAACTGACTAGACAAGTAAATGTTTGTCTAGAAAACTCAAGTCACTAGGTGACGGCAAACCAGTTATCAGTGGTAGTATCCCTCACCTTCTTTACATAACTTAAAATTAATAAACTGTTGTGTCACCTAAAACTATGATCTTTATATAATTATAGTATATCTGTGTTATGATACCTCATTCTATATGATAGCGTTTATATTTATGTTTTTTTAATGTTAATTTTTTATATAGAACATCAAAGAAATGATTGAAGAGCCATGATCAATGATGAATAAACTAAACTAAACGCAACGACTGACTTCAGTGTTTTTTTGGATTCATAGATAAATTGTATTCCAAATAAAATTTACTTGATTAAGTTTTTTTTTTTTTTTTAATTTAATTTTTTTAAATCTGATATTTTTACAGTTAACAATTTAATAGTTATGTTATGTTTGTTTAATAAATGGCATATTTTAAGTTTGATATTCAAATTTCATATTTCAAAAATTGTATACATTTTTTTTTCAATGTAAAATTCTTTATTTGGATCAAAATGTTACCTTTTGAATATTTTTAATGGGTTTTTATATTCTAACTAATTAACTAGTTAAATTTTTAAAATCTAATTTCAGCATAGCATTCTACTATAAAAAATGCATTGATTTGTATTTTTAGTTTTATTAATTTAACAATATTAAAACATTCCGAATTAAAAAGAATATCAATTATTACAATTTTTTCGACTTATAAAGTTTTTTTTCACATTGCGATTACATTAACTAAAAATGATGCGTTAAACAATATTTTAATATTTTAACTCTTTATAACATTTCGTTTTGATAAATAATAATAACAACTTGAATACAATTAAAAAAATATAAAGAAAAGTTAAACTTACCTTTTTTATAAATGCTGTAAAACTTAATTTTAAAAATTTCATATCAAGTTAAAACGCAATGGTTTTAAAATTTGTTCAAATTATTATCATAGTACTATAAACATTATAATGAAATGTTGAAAATACATTTTTTTATTTACATTAACATTTCACGTTGAATAACAATAATTTTACAAATACTGAGGATGAAATATTAATGGTAAAGAAAAACCAAAGACACATTCTGAATCAACGTCAAAAAATCAAAAAAAATTTTTATAAACAATCGATGACCTAAATTTCGATGAGTTGTGTAATATATACTTCGGTAATTTGAAAAACAAAATAATCATTTTATTCTATCATTGCAATGATAAATTATCAGAGGCATCTATTTTTTAAACCTCTATTTTATAATTTTTGCCGAATTATGTTATCTGAAAATTTGTTTTTTATAAAAGTGGAGTGATCTAATTTTACAGTAAGTCTTTCATTTTTAAAACCAATACATATCAGTTTGTAGAGTTAAAACAGCAGAAAATTTTTTGACAATTATTATACACAAAACAATTTGTTATGTAAAAGATGGTAAACCTAGTGTTTTTAAGTAGGTAATTAAAATATTGTTTACTTTATGAATAAATTAATAGCAAACACGAACATTTTGTATAAGGAAAAGAAAATGGTTCGAGGGTATCTTATGTCATAATATATAATTCAGGTTTAATTCCCTCGAAATAAAAAATGATTATCCTTTATTTTTAGAATATGTGCTCATTTTTTTTTAAATTTATTACAAATTATTTATTTATTACTAATCAGCTAACGATATTGTTAATGACCTAGATTTTCATAACATCAATATCACGATCTATGTATAAATTATTTATTGACTTGATTACACTATTAATTATTTTTATCTTAAATCTAATCATACTAAACCAATTGATTAAGGTAGATTATTACCTAATTAAGAAGGTGCATAGAGTACCAGACTGAAATTTTAGTCAGGACAAAATTAATATTAATAAGAATATTTTATAATAACTTAAAAGAATTATTAGTTGAGTATTAAAATAATGTGGGGTTAGGTTACTACCCATCCCAACATTTTAATACATACTCAATTGATACAGTAATGTATTAATTAAAATAATATATTTCTTAGGTCACGTTTACGAGAATTTTATGTAGATGATAAAAAAATATTGTAATCTTTTTTAATTAATATAAAAATTATATTTTGTGATTAATTATCACCTTCATTAAAATCATTTTCATTGTGAGTACTTACTGTTATAATACATACGTTGGATATAAGTACTAAAGAAACCAAAGTAATTAAGAGTATTAAACAAGGATAAATTATAATTTCTCCTACAAGGAGAAATTCTATCTCCCTTGCTATGATGTCTAGTTTTAGACTCGCTTATTAAAGAGTTAAACAAATATTGTTATACACAAGCCTATGTGAATGACTTACCTATAGAAGTGGTGGGTAAATTTTCAAATACAATTATAAATTTGGTACAGCAGAGACTGAAAACTATACACGTATAGTGTAGTAAGTACAGCCTGGCTGTTAATTCAAACAAAGAGGAGGAAGTATTGTTTTTCCAGGAGAAGACTAATACTTAACACATAGTCTTAATGGATAAGAAATTAGCTTTAAGTCAGAGGTGAAATACTTAAGTATTATCCTAAACAGTGCGCTAGCATGGAAATCATATATTAAAGCAAGAGTCAAAAGAGCCATGGCTACATTATGGACATGCAGCAGAATTCTAGGAAAGACTTGGGGTCTTAAACCAAGATTTATGTATTGGCTATTAACTTTAATGATTAAACGTATGATTTTATATTGTGCTCTGGTGGATCAGAACAACATTTATTACAGCCATGGAAGAATTTAAACTCATCCAAAGAATGACTGATGTAGCTATTATTAAAATGACAAGAACTACATCAATGGTAATGCTATATCAACTACATCAAATAATGCTGGAGGCATTATTTGGACTACCTCATTTACACTTAGAGGTTGAATCTCATGCCAATGCTATAAACACTAAAACTCCACAATTTAGGCATCTAGAGTACAGATATTGGTAACGTAGAACAAGATATAATACTAAAAGAGATAGACCCGAGTATACTGCGATATCTCTTAGATTGTATCAGATTTGTTCTCCAAAATAATACCCTCCTACAAAGTTGAGACCTTAACACGTGGGGAATGGAATATAAATCATCTGACTAGGAATTGTGGGGTTTAGCATCATGGTTTATTAGCAACATATACTACGGTTTCTCTTTGTAAATCCTTAGTAATATCACCCATTACGAAAGAAAATAAATAAGGGTGCAACGGTAACGTACGAATTAAGTAAAACTGCCTTTGAAGAAAATTTATCAGTCCTTACATCACATTCTAGTGTTTTAATCGTTTAAATGATTGTGACGGTCAGCTAACGATGATCCACGTTTTGTTAAACCTTTGACATCCAAGAATTATGTTGTAGCAAAAATTTGCAAAAAATGCGAAATTACCGAAGATTAATCGTTTGTAAGTTAACAAATAATGTGGGAATCTTAATTGGATTTTTAATGAAATTTAATAAATTTGATAAATAAATAGGGTAGCTGCCAAATTTGTTCTGTGATTGTTGACTCTAGAATAAAAAGAAATTTATTTAACAATTTGTCAAGACCTTAATAATTGTTCTGCTGATGTTAATTTCATAAAAAATATTATCCAAGGTGATGAAACGGAAGTCTATTGATACGATTCAACATAAAAGTTTTTGTCATCTTAGTAGAAAACAAAATTTTTGCTTTGCAATAAGAAGTTCGTCAAGTGNCCTTTGCAATAAGAAGTTCGCCAAGTGAGGTCGAATGTCAAATTAATGCTGATTATTTTTTTTTTATATTGTTCATTATGAATTTGTGTTTATGGACAATTAGTTAATCAGGTATTCTATAAAGATATATTATTACGTTTGCGAGAAATAATTTGCAAAAACGCCCAGAAAATGAAAATATAACCTTTTTTTTTCATCATAACAATGCACTATTGATTCGTGAATTTTTGACTGAAAATAAAAAATTATCTGTGGTTTGACATCTTCCTTATTCTCCTGATCTGGTCCCACGTGATTTTTTTCTTTTCCCGAGACTAAAATTTGCACTTAAAGGGCAACAGTTTCAAAATACAGAGAAATTAAAACGATATGACAACAGAACTTAAAGCTATAACTTTGGAATAATTTTAAGGACTTTTGAGAAATGACAAAATCGTTTGGACCACTGCATATCGTCTGGAGGAGAGTATTTTGAAGAAGATATCTTTAAAATATATAATTTCTTTTATGTAATAATTAAAAATAAAATCCTAGTACTTTTTTAACAGACCTCGTAAATAGATTAATTAAAATAAATTACAGAAATTTACTATTTTTGAATTATAATTTTTATATTTATGCAGTTACCCACAAAATTAATTTTTACACATATCATCATTAATCTCAAAATCGCATTTTTTTACTTATCAGTTATTGGATACAATCCTCAAAAATATTTTTAGATTATCTAAAAGTTCAAAAATATTCATATAATGATACTTATCAACAAGTAGTCGCGTTTGCTCTTAAATACAACATTGCTTTAAAATACGTTTGCACTTTCATTATTATTATTATTATTTTCATTTTTAATATTATTTTTGTGATGTGTTGGCTAAACTGAGGGTAATGTTGATAACTGACTTTTATTAAGACCATGACCACGGATACTAGCTGATAATATTCATATGACTGACAGACGTGTAAACATTTTTTTATATCAATATTTATAAAATAAATAACTTAAAATATTTGGAACTATTTTTAACAGTAATCTAAGTAATAACTGTTGCTTTATTTTGCTTATTTGAAAATTTTAAGTAAATTGGAATTGTTACAAATTATTTTATTTTTTAATTTTACAAAATATAATATATTAATATTCTTTTCATGAAATTAATTTCAGAAAATATGTGTAATAATGATATGTTACTTTACTATTATTCTAAATATATTAAGAATTAAATCTATACCTTTAAAAATATATGAATAATAATTATATTTGATATAATACTGTAAAATGATATATGAATCTTCTAAAATATAAATAAAATGAATATTGGAAGAACAAATCTTCATGGCAATGGCTTGTTATTTGCTGGTTTTAATCAAGACCAGGGTGAGTACATTAATATAAATTATCCGTATAATTATAATATTTATCTTTAAAATGTTATTTTCCTTGATTAGAATTCAGATAAAACTTATTATAATTCTTCTTTTTTTTTCCTATCCATTTCGGTATTTGGAATAAAATTAACCTGGTTAGTTGTCACCAGCAAACCATAGTTGAACTAGTCATTAGTTTACTAGGAAAAATTTTAAATGCAGTAGTCTCCTATTACCTTTTGCACTATAATTATTAATAATTAACAATTTTATAATAATTATTTCTAAAATATTTAGAAATAGCTTATTATTTACAATAAATGTATTAACATAAAATTAATTCCAAAAAAATAAATGATACATCAAAATTGCATTCAACTTCTTATATTTCATTTTTTTTTTTCATTTTGTAATGGTTTATTTTTATGGAAATACTCTAATGTTTCACATTTTTTGTAAGAACTTTTTTACTTGATTTCTACTTCTTTAAAATTATTTAATAGTTTTACTAAAAAAATTTTTAAAATTCAAGAATACTTCAAAAAATTAAAAATTAAAAAAAACCATCTACTAAAATTTAATATTTTACAATTTATTAAAAATTCTCTTAGAATTCAAATGTGATAAAATATTTATTAATTTGTAGAGAAGAACTAAATATTTATAATCTAAAAAAAAACCCAGCACAGTGGGGTCGCGGCACAGTGATGACGTAGCATAGTTGGATCAAGTATAGTGATATCTGACAATGATTAAAATCACTATAAAAAAAAAACGCTTCTATGCAAAACTTTAGATAATGTTTAATTTAAAAAAATTGGTGGATTATTCCAAAAGCTACTTGATCTGCTAGTTCCTTATTAATATCTTGATTAAGATAAAGTATGTCGAATGAAATAGGGATTATTAAATAATATTATTTCTCATAAAAAAATTATGTTGATCCATACACTTTTCAATAATTTATAGCATTATAAAGTTCAAAATATAAAAAAGAATTTTTTTACAAAAATCGTATTTTTTTTATTAACTTTAATTAATTTAAAACTTTAATTTAAAGTATTAACTTTAAAAAAATATACCGAATAATAGATAAAGACATCAAGAATCTTTAAAAAAAAAAAATTTACTGATCCATACAGTTTCCAAAAAGTTATAGCATTATTAAGTTAAAAATATAAAAAAGAATTGTTTTACAAAAAAACGTAATATTTATATTAACTTTGATGTCTATTTTCACTACGAAAACAAGTCCAGAGGTGAAATTTTTTTTTCTATAATAAAGTATATTATATTACCTTTAATTTAAGATATATATAAAAGTGTCAACTGATTAAGATAAAGTATGTCAAATTAAAAAGAGATTATTAAAAAATATTATTTCTGATAAAAAAATTGTGTTGATCCATATACTTTTCAATAAGTTATAGCATTATAAAGTTAAATATGTAAAATATAAAATCGAGAATTTTCACACAAAAATAGTATTTGATAGCCATTTTCACCACGAAGACAAGTCCAGAGGTCAATTTTTTTTTCCATAATAAAGTACATTACATTAGCTTTAATTTAAGATATATATAAAAGTGTCGACCTTCCGGAACACTTTCAAAAATTAAATTGAAAAAGTTAATTTTTTATGAAAAAATTGTCATTTTAAATCCCCTCCCTGTGGGCAGGTAAAGGGACAGATTTATAAAAAAAATATACCAAATGGTAGGTAAAGACATCAAGCATCTATAAAAAAAAATTTTTATTAATTTGTTAATTTTTGAAAAAGTTATCGCATTGAAGCTAAAAATTATTTTTTAATAGACTTGGTTTGGAATTCTTTATATTTATTCATTTATTTATTGAAAGCATTGGTTGGTAAGTCCAATGGTTATCTACAAGGAAAATTTAAGTACATTTCTAAATTGATATATTACTTGCATACAATTACAGAATATAATAAAAAACAACGTAATAAAAATGTTTGATGAACAACATAAAAACATTAATATATATGAAAAGATATACTGTAAGTTAATTAGAAATGTGAGGTGGTATTAGTATTGGTAATTTACATCATTCTTACAAGTGTCTCATTATTAGCATAGTTTGTGTTAGAAACAAGAACTAAAAATGGATAGTTATTGCATGTAACCAATGTAGGAATTTTGAGATTAATACAAAAAAGGAGATTTGGGTGTCAATTTTACTTGAGAGTAAATTAAAATTAAAAGTTAAATCCCCTTGTATTCTTCTATTAGGCTATGAGAATAATTACAAAGAATAAAGAACTGGAGAATAAACATGTGGCTGATGCTCTATTTTTAATATTTGCCCAATAAAGTATAAAAATGTATGCTATACATGTTCCACGAGGTAGCTACCACTAATTTCATGAGGATCCCACAATACAGGTCTATGTTCAAGTAAACAGCATACTAAGGCACAGTGTTAATAATTGCAATCAATTTAAGTTGAGTACAAATATGTTGATATACCCAAGAATTTTTAGTGCTTTACAACTTGAAGATTCTATATGAGGAAAAAATATTAATTTTGTTTGAAACACGATGTCCAAATTTTTGACTATATTTTCTACTTTTATAAGCTTATGCCTATTGATATTATAATCAAAGACTATTAGAGAATGAGATTGATAAAACGATATAGAGCTGCATTTTTTGACATTAAGTGACAAAATCATGGTGTAGTCCATTGTACAATTGTAGTGAGATCATCATTTATCAAATACAATCATTGAAAGTTAACTTTTATGTACAGCTTTGGATAATCCGTGAACAATAGAGAATTTTATTTACATCATTGGCCTTTATAAATAATGAGAAGAGCACAGGAGATAGGGGGCTACTTTGTAGGACACCAGAAGGGAAATCAGAGACACAAAATCTTAATCTGTGAACGTTCATAAATTGTTTCTTATTAGATAA